TGTAACACTGACACTGTCGTGTGTGAGGATCACATCGTCCCCGAGCACTACAACCTTTTGGGCACTGGAACACCTCCAACTGGATTGGTGTACAGGTTTGGTTATGTGTTTGATCAGTACTCCATGGATTACATACACACCGTAGGGGGGCTTCCGTGTCGTTTGGTGTGGTACAACCGAACGCACATTGAATGGAGTAATCTTGCCAGCATTTCGAGGCATTCAGTACGCGACACTGTGGTCCGAAAGTGCCCGGCAAACAAGCGACATCATTTTGCACGCATTTGACGGAGGAAGGACATTGTGGATCACATTCTGATCCCGTGCAAGACAGAGTAACTCGATTAGGGCGACATTTTCTCCGATCACTATCTGAATCACCGCAATCAATGGGGATACAAAACGGTGGAATACACGTATCCGATTCCAGCTGAGCTTGATCAGAGTCATACGGAATCATTAGGCGTTCGGCACCGTATGCCTGATCATTTACTAAATCTCGATTCGGTGTGGCATATCCCCAAAATTGACCTTGTTCGTTCCAGACCATTCGTTGTGGATAAGTGTCCGCTGGAATATAGTTCATCGGCTGAGGGGGTTCTGTTCTGACACTCATCTGGATGGATCGGGGAGGGTCCAGAAGGCGTAACTCCTGAACATAATCCCATCTTCTTTTCCGATTATCATCTTGCGGATGCCCTTGAGGTGCCCAGAACAATGAACCGCGACCATACTCACGTTCAGTCTCTGCATCCCGACTTCCCGCATCCATTTGCACATTCGATGCGGGGTTCCCGGAGATCGTTGCCTGCAACGGAGTGCCCCTGTTCGTATTCCGATCGGCACGGGGCCCATAGTGGCGATAATCATAGGTGGAACGAAACTGATTCCCATCGCGGAACCACAAATTGGTTCGCAGTTGTCGTACTCCATTAGGATTTGTACTGTTTCGATTCCTTTCATACGGATTTACTCGTTCATTCCATCGTTCAACTTTGGTTTCCACAATTCGGAATGTGAATTGAGTACAACAAACAAGAAACAAAGTAAATGGGAGAAAAACACCAAATCCAGGACTATTTAGACACAACATTTTGTAGTAGCCTGTTTAAAAACAATCACAACCGGTGGGAATTCGGTCCACGATTCGGTAGGGTTAGATGATTCTCAAGATCTTGTTTTCCGAATGCTGGATTCAACCACCGATAATAGTTCCGATGACACTACACACCAGTCGAAGAGGGCAAGTAGATTGACGCTGGTATTGCCCGTGGGATAGGTTAGCCAATCCGTGCAAGAGTTCTATAAACCAATCAGTGGTCAGCGAGTTGGCACTTGGTGCTTATGTGCTAGTGTGCTTCTGTTTTCGTGCGTTTGTTTGTGTGCGTGTATACTAGCCTGTGTTTTTGTGCTGGCCCCATAATATTAGGTATGCAATAGGTGTTGTTCTGTTGGGAAGACACATCTGCGAGAGGAACACAAGAGGAAGTATTTTTTATGATCGACTGTATGTGTATTTTTGTGTCCTTGGAAAAAGTATTTAGTAATATGATACGACGCCAAGTTTTGTATGTCTGTAATACAATGGAGTAATCAGCGGGGTTTGTAAAGATGTTTTCAACGTGCATAGATCATGAAAGATTAAAAACATAAAGTTGAACCATAAGCATTGAGAGGCAAACAATTAAGAAGAGGACCAGAGTTTGGGTTAAAACAGATTTAAACGGGTAACGCGAATTGATCATTGCACATAAACGAACTCCGTTCCAAGGTACTGAAATTAACCGGAAGACAATATTTAGTGGACAACACTTGCAATTTTCCAGTTTTTTTAATGTGGCATAAGAAAGACGTCTGCTGGAAACTCTGTTCATTCGCACCAAGAATATTTACTCAAGAAGAAGAGTCCTCTCTATGAAGGATGCTACCCTGTAACTGTTACCTAGGAATTTTATTGTTTTTTTTTGTATTTGACGTTTGAGCCTGTCTGTGAAATATCAAACAAAAGCGTTTTCCTAAGACTGGCATTTAACGGTTATCATCTAAAGAACGATGTGTCTGAAACGCAAGTTGGCATTGTGTCGAACAGTTCCTGTTGCACAACTTCGATTGATACCGTATACGCAGGGAAATCGACTGGACAACCGAAAGCAGAGCCAACCGTCTAGTTCTACTTCACATGCCGTCTACCACCTCATCTACAGTTACGGTAACACTTTCATCGGTACAACCAATCGGCCCCTGTCAGAACGATAGTTCGAACACATTCCCAAGTGCTTTCTGCACTCAGTTATACGGCAAAATTTCCTAGGTCAATCGAACAAGACCATCAATCGCAAAACACCTCATGACAACTGGACGTATCTTTGCCCCTTCGCCGTTGTCGCGTAACGTGAATCCCAAACTCTTAGCATTCAGCGGAGCAATGTTATTCAACTTACGTAATCCATTTTCGTATGCGTAAAGGTTTCTGAAGCAGTCAGTCAAATTACCGTGGAACAGGGAATGACCCCCACTCTCCTCTGACTGTTATTCGTTGTAGTTATCAAACTTTCTTCAATAAATATCAGATAGTTCTACGTCGTAGTGACTAAGCAGATGAAAGGAAAGTTAACATTGAGTAGTATTTGGTTTCTCTCTGTCCTTACGAATAGGATGAAGGAGGACCACTGTTTAAACTTTATTACCTTCTCAATCTATCAAGACTTTCTTTTACCAACTGTATGTGCATGACTAAGAAGAGGTGAAAGATACTCAGTTTCATTTTATCTTCCTGAACCTATTTGCCTGACCAAGGCCACTAGCCAGTCAAATAGTTGAAGGCTAGTACGTTCTGTATTGATTGTATTACAGCAAGAATTAGAGAATTGATCAGGAATAGCACAGCGACAGATGACGTCCTTTCTCTATGACAAATTATTTTACAACCACATTTTGATCTGAAAAATGTCAAGGCTCAACTAAAATCGATGGCATTGTGCAGTATCATCGCTTGTCTGCTGGAGGATAATATTTCTAGTTCCATTATTATTGTTATTAGTGCCTCCATCTCCTTTTTTGAGTGAACAGTGGCAAAATTTATGTTCTGATAACAGCTTTCAGGGAATCTAAGGGAGAGAGAAAGATGGGTTTATAGGGGCTTCCAATGTACCATGATCGAGCTCTTTGGATGGTGACCTATTCCCCTTAATTGCCGTTCTCACCAGTGTCCCACACACTGTGATATTGCCGTGTAAAACAAAAAAACGAATTGGAAAGCGAAGCAAAAGTTATTCAGTCATCAAAATCTGAAAACAAAAGTTGTTTTGATTGTCTACACCATGCTATTCACACGACTTCCGCAGGTATCTTGGCTTTCGTTTCGGTGAAAGGAAAAGCACTTACGGATTGTGCAGCAGAATGAAAATCATAACAACAAAGTAGATTAACCTCCCAACCCAAAAATAGCACGGATCCGTTTATCAATGGGTAAACTCTGTATGCAGTTCTCTGATTGTTTTGCTTCCGTTTATATGTGCAAGGAGCAGGCCAGCGTTTGGGCAGTTTCTTGTGGGAGGTATGCAAAAACAAAATCGGTACTTGAACGGGATCGGCGGCCGGGAAGATTGGTGTGCAATGGATATAATGCGGTCTTTGAAAAACACTTTGTTGCAAACCTCTTGCAAGTACTGCTGTGAAAATCATCAGCCAACGCTTCGAGGGAGAGAGGTGGTGGAGATACAACTGAATCGATACACGATGTCTGAATACGTTTAAGAAATCCAGGGGACCGAGACGGGAATGGTATCAAGCATTGAATGAAATGTACTGATAAGGAATGGAAGATACCATCAATGTCCCTAACATGATATTGTCTACGATCACCGATCTAAAATGGGAGACACTAATATATTTTTTCGTGTGTTAAGATTTAATTGGCGGGTACCATAGATATTGTACTCCGAGGTAACACTAATATATGTGACATGATTCGAGTTGAGGAGGATGAACAGAATTTGGTATGGTTACGATTAACGAAAGCTCGGAGCGTGTCTGAGCGAAGTTATATCGAAAGGCTATTCTGGTAGAACGTTTGTCGTCCAATTGTACACTTTTAAAAATTTAATTTTTGCTGCACGCAATCACAACCAGCATCCGCTTAATTGAAGTTCGAGTTCATCGCTGAAGAATACTGTTCCCTGCCTTGATTGTAGGTCCGCGGCGATTGACTGCTTACTCTCAAGAATCAGTCTTCGGAATGCCCAGTGAATCAAACGACAAGCGATTTTATAGGTTTCTTCCGTACAAGTAAGAATGTTTGATGATTGGTGGAGTATTTGGTTTAATTATCTAGTGGACTTTGTGGTGCATAGAGCAACTGAACTTTGAAGTGAAAAGCACAGAAGCACTTTACAGTTTCAGCCTGATGGGGTCCCATCGGCAGTGTGGATTCATCGACGAGTTCCACCAGAAATTTGAACGAAATCCTCCGCTACTCTCAAGTAACAAGTAGTTGGGCTGGAATGTTTCCAATC